TCCTGGCTTCAGACAATACTCCCACCTCAGTTTCCTAAAGGGCTGGAATGCGCATCCACCCCTTAAGTACATATGGGTTTCTATGTCCGCATACACATACACACAAACCCAGCACACACAGCCTCCAGCACTGAGTGGCCTGCCTGAAGAACTGCTCTAGAGAACGAAAGGCAAGAAGGTGAGTTCCTGGCTCGTAAGGGCCCACTCATTTTCTGGCTGTCTGTCCAGCGCCAAATGATGAAAATGAGGTCATAGCAATGGTTGAGGTTTCTGAACCATTAAAATGGAAATGCTCATCTAAATAAGGCTCTTTCCCATAAAGGATGATGTCAAGTATGAAAAATATCCCTGTGAGCTGCTTCCCCCATTTAGCAGTTCCAACTGGACTGTCTCAGTGCCATTCCAGCAGTACCTAAACAGTCAGCTCCAACACCTGCAAGACAAGCTCTTTCAGAGGGCGCATACCCACTGAGAGAGGCTATTTTAGATGTTTCCTAAACCAAAAGAATAAAGACCAAAAAAAGACAGCTTCACAAAGTCAGGATCTGGATGCAGCAAACTTAAATGGTCTTTTTCCTGAAGCCCCCAGAGATAGACTAATCATGGGAATGACGGAAGATGTCTTAAAAATAGTATCGCCATTGTACTTTCAAAATAGCAAATGATATTCTTCTAATGTCCCAAAACAGCTCTCAGAAGGAATTAAATAGCTTTCTTCAACTGGCAAAAGTTACAAAACAAAACATAAATTAAACATATTAAAAAATCAAACACATCTTTGAAGGCAGTGCTGCTATAGACAGACTGAGAGTCAGAACAAAGTTGGTCAACATTCAGGTCATCTACAATTTTGCCAAGAATACAGAAGGCCCGAGTGAACAGGATTAGGCTGGGCTCATTTTTCTCTCAATGCACTTTGCTTTGCAGTTATAGAGATAGTCCCCATAATAATTTTCATACCAGAAGCAGGAAGATAGTTAAGTTCGAGAATGATTGTACAATACCTGAAGCTATGGGAAAATGACAAGGTCCCTGAAGGAGCAGAATCACAAAGTGTAATGGATTCTGTTTTGCTTTTGTTTTCACTCATCTGACAGATTACAACATCACTTTGGCCGTGGAGGAGAAAATACTGCGGTTTTCTTTCCTTGATGGGATCAGCATCATCCTAGCTAATTAGTACTAAATCAACTTAGGAGGGAAGAAAACTATCCAAAAAAAAAAAAAAAAAAAAAAAAATTCAAAGGTTTGCTTTATGGGGGCAGAGACGGTTATATATACCCAAAAGAACTGGCACTGTGGCCTGTGACACTTCAAATAAAGCCAGTACCACTTAGTGACCCTCCATGATGCTGACTTGCCCCAAATTGCCAGTGTAAGGAGAGTCAATGGTCTGAAACCAGTATCTCTCAACATATTTGCATTCATAGTCTGAGGATGCAAGGAGAAGGGAACTTAAAATTCCTAACAGCCTGGGGAGTGGCAGCTAGGAGACCTGGCAGAGCTATTGAAGGCATTCACTTTCTGGTTACCAAGATCCGTATCTTTTTTGTTCTCCATGATTTCTCCCTGTTAACCCCTTGTGTCTGCTGATAGGTCTCATGTGGTGTTTTCCTCAATTGGGGATTTTCATAGGGTTCCTGAGTGCTCTGTGGGTGCAGGTGGTAAGAGGACACTTGAAGAACAGCAGCAACAACCAAAGCCCAACACTATTAAGCACCACTACCTGTTACACTCACAGGGAAGGCTTGTCATGGGTCTAAAAGGAGAGACACAGCATTGATCATTTTAAGGACAGGCCTGGAAGTGTGGTTAAAACACAGGTTGCTGAGCACTAACTTGACAGTTTCAAATTCAACAGGTCAGGGCTGGAGCCTGAGAACTTGCATTTCTAATCAGTTCCTAGGTGATGCTGATGTTCCTGGTCTGGGACCACCCTTGGTTAACCACTGATAGAGAGGCTTTAGAAGTGTTTGTGTTTTTTTCTTCTCCCAACATATTTCTTTTGTTTGTTTCTTTGTTTTTGAGACAGGGTCTCGCTGTCACCCAGGCTGGGGTGCAGTGGTGCAATCTCGGCTCACTGCAACCACCACCTAATGGGTGCAAGCCTCCTAAGTAGCTGGGACTGCAGGTGCTGCCACCACACCCAGCTAATTTTTGTATTTTTAGTAGAGATGAGGTTTCACCATGTTACCCAGGCTGGTCTGGAGCACCTGACTTCAGGTGATCTACCCACCTCAGCCTCCCAAAGTACTGGAATTACAGGCATAAGCCATTGCACCCAGCCCGTATTTCTGTTTTGAAACAGAACCTCCCCTGATCCCAAACCTCCCCATAGAGCCCCTGACTTTGATTAGAGCTTGGGAATCCATTTAAAAATTGGTTTCCTCGAAAAAACAAACTCAAAGGAATGGCAAATCGCAAAGTGTGGATTGGTAAACATAGTAATGAATAAAATTATATTCAAAAGGTTGGTGTATATGAGATTTTTCTCCCCTACAACCCAGGAAAATAACTGCACTTTATTAATACAGAATAATCACATATTTACCTGCTCATGAGACTATCAACTCACTTTTTAATATAAAGAACATAATTATCACTGAAAAACAAAAATGTAGCAACATCATTATTTTTTTAAGCATGGATAATTTTCCTCTGGAAACTTGATAAAAATATATATATATATAAAAAACAGCAATTTAAAATTATTCCCCTTATACATTTTAAACTGAACCCGATGTCTTTCCCACCATTTTGAAAACGGAAGGTGGTCTCTAAAGGAACTCCCGCTGAAGTGTATTTTCACAATGAGCTGATTAAGACAGTGCAGTTGTTTCCCCTTACAACAAACATTTAAAAATAAACTAAACAATTCTAAAGTGAATTAAGTTGCTTACCTTTGAGCCTCGCTCATTAAAAATAATTTCAACATCTAAGATTTTACCAAATTGCTGCAAAGAAATAGAAATATCTTATAAGCAAGAAGAGAAATGCAGTAGACATTATTAGGTACAGTAGTAATTGTTTCCGACGCCAATTTTTTCTCTTAATATCAAGGATATACATTTTATGTTTTATGGCTAATGGGCTTGAAACAAGAGAAAACAAAACCACCCATATTTTCTCCTTATTAAGGAACACACCAACAGGGCTTGGTACAAAATATTAAGAGGTGAATTCTACTTTACTTTTTCTTTTTCTTTTTTTTTTCCTGTGTGCATGTCTGCGTTCCCAGGCACTGAGCAGCAAAGATTTAAAAGTGGCTAGTATGTATATACAATGACCCTTCTGGTCTATCCCACCAAACAATGGAAGAAACACCCTTGATGAAATGCGATTTTGATAATCAATGTCCAGTGAGAATTTGATGTGACTGGTTTTGGCTCCCAGCTCACATAAAATCTAGGAGCAGCTCTATCATATGAGAAAGAAACTATGAACACAAAAGCAAACTCCACTATCCAGGCACCATCATCATGATGGTATCAGCAGTTGTAATCAGTGCTTGGGCTGAAATTCTCTATATTATTAAACAAACAGATTTTAGATAACTAGCATGACTAGGCTCTATGAAAAGTCCAGAAACAGAGACTCAGATTATAAATAGAGACAAATAAAATGCAGACACCTGGTTAAATTTAAATTTCAGATTTTTCAGGATATGTCACACGCAATATTTGGGACATACTTATACTTAATATCTGGTTTATTTGAACTTCAAATTCAATGACTGCGTCTTACATATTTTTTAAATTGGTGAAATCTGGAGTTTCCAGTGAGAAATGCACATCAAGCAATTCTTGATTCACGTTTCAAAATGGAGAGTATGGGCCCTAGAACTACGGGCATCAGATCATCTGAAATCCTTTCCTCCAACCTTGGAAGTTTTTCAGTTTTCTGAGATTACACGAAGTAGTGTGGGCATTTCTTGAGTATAATAGACTAACCTGCGTATGGGCAGGGAAGAGAGAAGGTGATGTAAAATCATGTACCGTGGCCCAGGAAAAATAAAACGAGAATTTTATCTCCATGCAGAATGAGAGCAAATGCCCTTTGAGTGATTAAAAATTAAACAGGGCAACATAAATATTTCCATCCTATTTTTTGGTTTTGTTTTGAGCTTTCCTATCATTCCATTCACTTCGGCATTCTGGATTTTAATTGCATCCTTTATGACCCTCAGAGGTTCTGTATTCCATTTCCCCCCTGAATGGACAGCATTACACGTACTTCCATGTAGCAGAGGACAGAGTG